GAACTTTGAAAGGCGGAATTGTTAAATAGACATACAATTTCATCAGGTTTGGTCTATACAATTTAAATCAAATTACACATATACTTTAGGCAAATTGATTTTCTCAATTATCTACTGAGAATAATTCGACCACTTGAATTTTTGGCAGATTTTTTTGCCAGAGAATAGGGAAACTGTCGAATTTTTATTTTTATTTCAAGACTTATTTACTGTATTAAAACTTTTTGATACTCTTTTTTTCCATTTTAATTTTAGATGAATATGACGATGCTTATCAGGTGCATGTCGGTCACTTGGCTAAGGACACTTCAGAGAGTGCCTCAGAGCCGGAGGATTCTCGGTCCGCTTTGCTGCATAAGCCTACTGTGTTAGTTCCCAAGGTACGAGTAATTCCAACCGCTTTTTTGAAGACATCTGACACTGTGGTTCCGGATTTGTATCTTCCGCTCATCCATAAGGAGTTCGATCTTATTCAGCCTCGAATAAGCAAAATAGGGATGATACACATAGCAAATAAATATGGTTTAGTTAGCATGACAAAAGGCCTTCGTGTTATTTGATCGTGATATTGACCCATTGCTAATCTATTTTTGAGCTTACATTAAGATTTCTGTAAATATGTTTCGACCTGTAATATTCATTTTAAATTCATCATCTGAGGTTTAGACCTGTTTCAATAACCATAAATTGTTTACTAGTTCATATAAAAAATCTGAAAATTGTTTGTGAATCCTCGAAGGTTAGCTTTTTATTCCACTTCATAATAAGATCCTACATTCTTGATTTCTATTATTTTTATTCGATTCTTAGGGATTTAATCTTTTCCTGTGCCTCAATTACGCTTTTCAAAGACATCTTGAATTTTATTAATTTAGATCATCAGAGAGCTCTTTCACAATTACTTCGTCTTAGAATCGTGGGTTATTCTGACTATGGAAACTCTCTTTAATATATCTTGCAAACCTTGCATTTTTTAATGCCAAATAAAACATTGAGCAAAATTCACTTCCAAAATGAAGTTTTATATGATTATTTTCTTTGAAAATGCATATTTTGTCAAAAATACATTTAACTGATCCATTTATTCAAAAATAAGCTATTTAGAATAGCGGGTTCTAAGTAACAATACGGGAGGCTTTATAATTTTAGTTGTAGGTAGGCAGAACAAGATTTTGCTGTCTCTGCCTTGGTTGCAGCCCCCTATCGATGTAAAGATGTGGTCTGACCTCATTTTCTTAACTTTGTCGTGTTGTTAGGGCAAACTAGTTATATGCACATTGACAGAGGCCTTCTGCTATAGTAGCCAACATAACTCCCAACTTTGGACCGTGGACTTAGAATATTCTCTTACGTGTCGCCAGCATCGCCAGTGAATCTTGCCAGTTTTAGCGTCAAGCTACACTTCGTCAAATAGGCAAGTGAAGTCAATCCCCTGATCATCTTTCTGGCAAACGGTTGTGCTATGACTCCTCTTTCTGATCTAGCATATCTACTTACTTTCCACCTTCTCAGCTCAGTCCTTCCCTATCACAACTTCTGGCTTGCTTATATTCTTTTTCTTTAAATGTTTACACTTTTTGGCGAGCTTAGTAGAGCGTCATCACATCTGCTTGCTTGCCTTGATGCCTCGATCTCGACTTGACGGAATTGCCTGTCCGGCTCGGGCTTCCTATTCCAATCTCCCTCATGGCCCTTGAGATTCGTTACTTATCTTTACTGGTTGACTGATTTCTCTCGGTTCCAGTCACTGTATAGAGAAATGTTCTAGTCGAAATCCTTGTGGTGGTCAATGTCTCCCTGGGGAGAAAAAACGGGAAATGGAGATAAAAATAATCCCAAGAATCTTCAGACATCAACAACCAACAACCAGGAGTAGATTATCGAAGATGCCATGGCCCTACAAAGGAATACACAATTAATCCTTTATGCGAATAAAGGAGGAGCGACTGCGATAATGGACAGGAAACAATGCACCGAGAAGGTAAAAAGTATACTATGAGACAGGACCAGGTATCATGTACCGAGGAAGGACCCGACTATGAAGCTTAATGAAACCCTACATCGCATACTGGAAGTGATGCATAGGAATGGCGGAATCGACGGATGGGTGATAAATCTACTAAAAAGAAAGTATGCACGACCATCTCAGCCTATGTATTAATAAGGGATACGCAAAGGATGGGAACTGCTAAGGTTGATAATCAACAACCAGTATGTGGCAACGTACAAATTTGCAAAGTTTATAGGAGTTGTTTGACCTTGTTTTCGCAACTTGGTCATATTGGTAGGACGATTTAGAGGAATGCACCTAGTCCGGAGTCCATTGTATGCATCATCATTTCCAGGGTAGGACCGTGGACGTGGTACATTCCCAGACGTTTCGCCGGCGTCCTACCAATATGACTAAGTTGCGAAAAAAAGGTCAAGCACCTTCTATACAACGAAATGAGATTGCGACCACACAAAAGGCCACACTATCTTGGTCATTATACCTTGCAAAGTTTATGTTTGAAACTTAATGAGTTAAATGACAGATTCTGAGGTATCAAAAACATG